GGCTATGATATTTAGAGTGGCGGTTGCATTTTAGGATGGCAAGGCTCGACGATAGCCTGGCGGGCCGCCAGGCTATAAGTGCTCTTGGAGAACCCTGTACACTGATGCGTAGTAAATCAGAACAAGTCCGCAAGTCGATTTCAAAGATCAGCGGTCTCTGAAGACCGCCCATTATTCCTATAAATTATCATATTTGAAGACCGCCCATTATTCCTATAAATTATCATATTTGAAGACCGCCCATTATTCCTATAAATTATCATATTTTATTACGCGATTGCTGATTGGTCAGGGATGCCCAGTATTATCGAATTAGCAGAGGTTTAACAGCATGACCTAGAAAATCGAACACATGGAGTTTGTGTACTTCGCATGGACTTTAGGCTTCGGAATTTGACTATTTTTAGTCTATATTTGATTAAATTTACCATTCATTTCATTAGAATAATGTAGAAAGTTAGTAGAGAATAACAAAATAATCAGTTTGGTAAATTTTTTATTTCCTGTGCGTCAGCTTAAAAATTACTCTTTTTTTTACGAGAGCTCTTTTTTGATATTGTACATGAAAAAAAGAACTCGTAATTTTTTTTACGGGAGCTATTTTAGGCTTGGCCAGAGCTACTTTATCATACCATGATTTTGTTAAAATTTTCATAATTTTGATGCATTGACTAATATCATTCATCAGCATTCAGCACCAGTATCAGACTATCAGTGTTAAGAAATCGTCAACAAATTACATTCGATCACATTTTTTTAAATCTCATTTCACTCGACTAAGAAACCAATCACATTCTTATTCAATTTAATTCACACAGACAGACATGCACTACACAGTACACGTATTTTTTAGTTACTTTGAGTATGTTAAAAAAACTTGTACTGGAATCTCTAGGAATGCCGGGAGGAATGTCTGAAGATCAGAAATGTTTGATATCTCGAACATTGTTCATCGAATGTTCGTCAATGTGCGCTGAATGTCGAACAATTCTAGGAACATTTGTAAAGTAGTTACCAATAGCAGCACGATATGTGGTCACATGATTATTGTGCCCAATCATGCGCCAATCACGTCTCTTTACAACACAGCTACTAGACGGCGCCACGAGGTTGTTCGCTGCAAAATTTTCGGCAATGTGCGCTCAGCAATTGTTCACCCGCACATTGCCAGACAAAAACATTTGTTCGGGAAAATGTTCGGCAATGTGCGCCAGGCTATTGTTCACCCGCACATTGCCAGACAAAAACATTTGTTCGGGAAAATGTTCGGCAATGTGCGCCAGGCTATTGTTCACCCGCACATTGCCAGACAAAAACATTTGTTCGGGAAAATGTTCGGCAATGTGCGCCAGGCTATTGTTCACCCGCACATTGCCAGACAAAAACATTTGT